AAAGGAACGAATTTTTCACATGTCCTTTTGTTATCTTCTTGATAGATGTTGCTAATACACAAGTCTCCAGTTTTGTCCCCAAGGCTTTATGCAATCGCTTCGTTACCTCTGTACGTATTGAATCAATTTGATGCTTATGTGTATCTTTGTTATTTTTTTTTGTTAAGATCATTGAATCTAATCCCCCAATTGCAAAAATTGAAGCAGAATTTTTGCCCGTTTGGAGATTCTTGCAGATATTTGCACCCTAACAACAACATTCCAGGTAGTTAAATCAGATTTGAATTCTGTCTTGTGTTGCTCAAAACATCATCTCTTTGTATTCGAATGCAGGATTCACCAATCATACACAACCTCATGCTCGATTTGCTAACCAACAAGCCCAAGCAACTAGTTTAAACCGTATGTATGCTTTCTTTGTCATTTCAACTTTCTCTCAGTCTTTTTAAACTTCATTAACTCTGATGTTGGAAGTTTTAAAATTGTCCAAACAGGTGATTTCCTTAGCGGGAGAAGTGGAACAAGTTGGTTTGATCTTCCGCCATCGCTGAAACCGCCTCCTGAGCATGGCTATCCTCAGCTTCCCTCCATAGACTGGGGATAGAACTTGCCTCCTTTCTCTACCCAATGCTCAGATTCAAACGTTGTTCTTTATACTCTGATTATCTTACATTTCCGCGATTTCTGACTCAAATGTTTTCGTTTATAAGAAGAATAAAACTGCCCTTTCTCTGTTTGAATTTCCCCACCGGGACAGAAAACATGTCATGTGACAAACAGAACAAGACACAAGACTTGCATTCTCCCAACCTACCTATCCAAATATTCGAGTAATTTGACAAAGTATGAGCTATTAGCCCTCCGGATACAAGTTCCAACTTACATTATGAAGAGTAAATCCGGCGAGAAAAGTATGCAATTTACATAGTCGGAGAGCCAATGAATTTGGTGATACGAGCATGGCTCTCGTATTTTTGCATCATAGGAAAACACTCTCGAGTGAACCAACAAGAGATAGAAGATGCAACTTAAGACATTACTTGATACACATAACTTAAGTTTTGGCTTTCATGAAGGCGCATTTGAACTTTGACGTCAACAAAACAAGAGAGAGTTTTGAGTTCAAAAGAGTCTACCAACAGTAAGCTACTAAAATTTGAAGCTAAGCACTTGAATAAAGGTTGATTGCGACTGATTATTTAAAGCTATGCCACTACTAGCTGAGTTGTATTCGGTTTTATGGGACCTACAATTTGGTAGGTTGGGTCAAAGTAATAGTTTTTAAACTTCCAAGATGCTATCTGAGTTTGGGAATCATTTCAATCATACAACGACCATAATAAATAAATTTATCTTCGAACTTATCTGTGATTCGACTATATTTTCCTGTTTTAAGTGTATGCTTAAAAATGAATCACACTATCAGATCAACGTTGCCGTCTAGAGATTACAAGTGAGCTAAAAAGCGTTTAAAGGTTAAACATTTATTCCAGTCGAATCGATCATTTATAATCGTAACAAATTAGAGGTTTCGAAGATCGTCGTTGAGTCGTGACATCCAACAGCAGTGAATAGTGACGTTGTTGCTTTATTACCGACTTGCTAACATGTTTTGGGAGACATGCGAAAGGGGAGATTTTGAACAGGCGAATCGAGCAAAGGAAATAGAAGAAAGCTTTAAGTCTTCTCATACATCATTACTGTATAAGAAGTTTATGATTTGAGGGGAGAGAGAGAGAGAGGCAACTACACTTCTTCCAATCTCTTGAAGCACCATGATACCTAAACCATGATAACTTCTAGGATGATTCATTCGCCAGAAAAGGTTTGGTACCCTGGTAAAACATAATCGAGGAGGAGATAAGCGACACGATAATGAAAACATGTGTATTACTGGTATTACGATGTTTCTAGTAGTATTTTAGTCTGTGACTGGCTTAATAAAGATACAAGGATGATGAAATGCTTGCTAAAATGAAAACAAAAACACAATCCTCCCAACAAGATAATTAAGATACTGATGAAATGCTACTGAAGAATATGAGACTTGTTAGGCAGAAGAAAACAATGAAAATCTGCAATAAGGTACGGATTAAGATTTGTCATGTTGTTTTGAAGGCAAATGAACTATGCTTGCAGGGATAACTCTAAAATGGACAATACGGAAGCCTAAGATGATCGTTGAGAAATTAGAAGAATCAAGTTTATTTGAAAGAAAAAGACTACGAACACAGGGTAATAGGGACTGAAACCTAGCCGGAAAGCGAAACTTGGGAGTAAAAAAATATACCTTTTATTCAACAAGATAGAGACGTGCATCTAAACCCATCTCTCACAAGTTCGTTAATTGCGTCCCTGAGCCTATGGTAATCCTCGGGTTTGTTGTAAACTTGAAAAGAAATGCGCACATAGCCCGTGATCGGATCAATCTCTCCGTCCGCAGGTGGTCTGAAGTAGATTGGGATTTCAATGCTGAACCTTTCTCTCAAAAAGGTTCTTAGCTTCAAAACATTCGATTCGCTCGACACTCCTAAGCACACGGGTAACCCGACCATGATCATACTCGCGCACATCTCAGGCGGGCAGCCGAGCTGAGTCCCCCAAGAGTTAACCAGCATATGACCCATTTCAACAATAGACTCATGATTCCTCTTCTTTATACCATCAATCCCTCCCTCAAACCGATTCACAAACTCCAAAATGGAAGGAACCACCAACTGAGCACTGTAATCTCTAGTTCCAACCCACGAGCTCTCGATCGCCAAGCCATTTCCATACTCATTAGACACAACAGGATGATGCAAATCAGGAGCAGTACCGTTATTCGATTTCCTACAATACAAGAAAGCAACCGAAGGCGGTGCGAAAAACCACTTATGAAGATTACTAGTGTAGAAATCAGCACCAATCTCCTTCATGTCAACGTCAACACACCCAATCCCATGAGCAGCATCAACAAAAACCTGGTCAACACCTTCTTCTCTACAGATTTTAACAAGCTCTTTGATTGGAATGACAACACTAGGCATAGAAGTCACATGATCAATCAAAGCTAACCTAACCCTCCTACCATTCGCCTTACCCGACTCTAAACCGTTCCTAAACCGGTCTATAATCTCATCCGCGGAAACAACAGGGAAAGGTAACTGTACCTCAATGACCTGTCCACCGGAGCGTGTAACGTACGCTTCGACTGATTTCTTCACAGAGCCATAAGCGTAGTGAAGCATAACCACCGCGTCACCTTTCTCGAACCGTCCTTCCCGGAAAGCCCAAGCGGTTTGCTGGAGAACGATTGCAGCAGCGGTGGTTGCGTTGTCGACGATTGAGACTTCATCGTCGTGTTCCGCGTTGATAAGACGCTTGATTACGGTTCTGGATTCGGAGATTTTGGGTTTGAGATCTTCGAAATAGAATCGATCGGGCTGGCGGAGGAACCGGAGCTGCCAATCTCGCTGGAGGGAGAGGATGGAAGAAGGACAACAACCGAAGCTACCGTTGTTGATCCTTGCGAAAACAAGATCGTGATGAGAAAACTCTGATTCGATCTCAGAGGAAGAAATGAAATTCGACGATTGAGGTAGAGGATGAGAGATTTTGGGTCGTTTGGGGAAATCCGATTCGACGCCGTTGGAGGAGGAAGAAGAAGAATATCTCTTAGACTGACGGTGGTGATAAGAAGCAGCAGCCTCTTCCGGCGGAGACAGAGACGCCATGGAATTGAGGAGAAATCAAAATTGGAATTGGAGAGAAGAAGAAATGAGGAAAATGGAAGCTTTTGTTTCTTCATCATTTGTTTTTTTTCAAAAAAAAAAAGAGGATAAAGACAAGTGGTGAAAGTGCGGTGCCACGACGACATAGGGACAGAGAGAAAAAGGTTTTTGTCGTGTATTGGAGTATCACGTGACTCATGCGTGCGTTACGACTCACCAACCTAGGGTTAGGAAAAAAAATCCAATTCGAATGAAAAAATTCAAATATCCTTAAAATTTCTAAACAAAGCAAATAATAAAATATAGTATCCGTTTGAAACAAAACAAATCGTAAATACAATATAGAAAAAGACCGATATCTAATCTGTATAACATATATATCATTTATATAAAGTAACAAATGAGTATAATTAGTTTTTTTTTGGTTATTATATTTATGCAACCTAGAGTATTAGAACCCACTCATTATC